TTTGAAGGACTTAAACTCGGATTCATGTGATAGTGACCTATGGAGCTTAACCACTAAGCTATAGACCCATAGGTCTATGTATTATTTTTTAAGTAAGTAAATATTATTTCTTTGTATATAACAATATTGTAAAGTTTTTTTATATTACCTTATATAATTTTTAAGATTAAGAGTATTGATGACAAGATTTTTTGATTAATATTTTTAATATGAAATTTATATTTTAAACAATATATATTTGAATATTAATTTTAATAAAATTAATAAAAATTTTAACAAATAAAAAAATTTTTTAATAATAATTTAATTAATTTTTTTCTATAATAATTAAACAAATATATAATCGGATTTTAAAAAAACTAGAATTAATTTTTTTTATAATTTAACAAATAATAATTTAAACTAAATAAAACTTTTAATATACAATATAATATTTATAATAAACAATACAATATATTAAAGTTTCATTAATATTTAATTAATAATTTATATTTTAAAATATTAATTTAATGCTAATAAAAAATTTTTTTAATAATTACAAATTTAATATATAAATATAAATAAAAGATTTTTAAAAAAAAGAAAATCCCATTTATTAATAATATATTATTGGAACTTGGTTTTCCACATATATTTTTTAAAAAAAATATTGTATATCTGTATAACCAAGTATTTATTTTATTATGCTGAAATGATTTCTATATATTGTACATACAGTATGTGTTTTTTTCAAAGAAACTATGCAAGGTGATTTTGTCAAACAACTTTGCCAGTTTGATGATTTTGTAAGAACCTTTTTCCTTGTTTCCAAAAGTAACATTGAATAAGGATAATTTTTTTTGTTTTGCCTTTTAATAGTAGTGTAATGATAGATTTTTTTATAAAATCTTAAATATTCAAACATTTGTATAAAATTTTTTCAATTATTATTATAATTATTCTTAATACAGTATATAATCGCAGTAAAATTGTTTATACAGTATACAGTATAAACAGTATATATTAATCCTCAATTTCTAATTTAAAACATAAATTCAACAAGACCCAAACTACAGTGGATGCCGTAACGCGTAGAATCTTTTTTTTTATTGAACGACGGCGATATTATTGGTTCGAGGGAGTCATGTTTCTTTGAAAGTCCAAGGGTCACTAAAAATCATTAAAACGCGCATATGTATTAACATATGACGGATGTCATCAATAAGCGCGCATACATTAAAGAATGTTTACTCGATGCAAGAAATCGAATATACATTAATAAATGCAAGGAATATTAATAGTGATCCCTTGCATGCGTGCATATATTGAGTCGTTACGTATCTTGGAAAAAAAAAAAAATAAGGAATCGAAAAATGGAATCCTGGAACACGACAGCACACCGAATGGTTGAGTGCCCAGGAATGAATCGTAAGCATTAAGTCCAAAAATGTAAACTGACTTAATTAAAGATGCTTGGAAGGATGGAACATCTCACGAGCGAAGAAATCTTTGGTCGAGATTACAGTTTCAGTGGTGCGGACCTTTTGGCATGTAACAAGAGATATAAACAAACAACACAAATTAAGGAGCGAACAAATAAACGCATTGTGCATAAAAAATAATCTTTACAAGTAAAAACAAGAATTGGAACCTGAATA